AAAAAAAAAAAAAAAGGGCTGGTGAGGTGAATGGCTTAATGGTAATAAACGGACATGAAAAGTTTAAACCCAGCTTACTTTCATGTTCGGAGTCAAAACAGGAAACCGACAATGCTCAATATCCCGAATGGCCAACATCACATCCTTACTGTCAGCTAGCTGTAGTCATACTTTACCACAATGAATCAACTTAAAATTATAGTCCAAAAAAAGGTGACCAAGCAAGGTACAACTGCTAAATAATCAAAGAAATCGAAGGATTTTCGGGCAGAATACAGAACTCGCATAATAAGCGAGGAACCTGTTAATAAAACCATTTATACCTGAGGTACCCATTTTGGTGAAACAAAACTAGTAGCTTCAACGACAGGCAAACCAGAAGATGCGAGCATTTTTATCAAGTCCACCTTCACATTAGTTGGCACAATTTCCTTCTCGTTTTGCAGCCCATCTCGTGGACCAACTTCGACTATCTTTACAAATTTAGGGATAGAACCCATCAACTGCAAATCAATGTCATATGTCATAACACCTTAAGCTGAGACACTTGGCATGAATCTTAAACTGAAGGGCTTCTTCAGTTATCCTCAAGTGCCTTATCACTTAAATGGAAAGTAACACCAAGAAACTTTTTTTCTTTTTTCTTTCTTTCTTTTTTTCTGGAAGAACAATAACATATGAGAATTAGAAATGAGCAAATTTCCAGTAAAACTCGATGTTGATGTATCAAATTTTTTCAGGCCACAAAAGTTTTTGCTCTTTAGTACACTGCTAATACATAGTATAAACTTTCCTTTGCAGGAAATTGGACTGAGTACTCCCATAAACCAAGAAAATACCTTGTGTTTAATATCTATTGCTTCATGCTGGGAGCTGAAATGACGAGTTAGTGCACGAACAGTGCCAAATCCAACAAAATCAGATTCTCGACCGAACGAAAATTTGAAGGATGACCAATTCGTCTCACTTTTCAATAAAGATGCTTCTTTTCCATCACCCTTGCTACATAGGAAATGTTTCTAATGTCATTCTCAGAAGAACAAACACATAAACCCGATATCCTAGCATGGTCAAGATCCCATCACAAGTAACAATAACAGCATGTAGAGGACGTATTAGAGAGGAGTAATTTTAACACTCATAAAAGGCATAACTACAAACTTCATGAAGGAAAAGAGGGTTGCATCTTCAAACTTCACAAGGCACAGTTTTTCAGTCAGAACTTAATAGATCTTCAAACTAAAACTGAAAATCAAACAGGCCCATTAATTTCTTAAGCATTGGGAACTCCAACTTACCCAAATTGTTCCGGGCAACTGCGAGCATCGCCTCCATTACCGATGATTTTTTCACCTCCCATACCACTACAAAGGGCAAAAATGGAAAAATGTTTTCTGGGCTGGACGGACCTCAACCTCGAGAGCCTGTAGACAGATTCCGACAACATCGAAATAGCTGTGGAAAAGGAAAAGACAAAAATTGAAAGTAAATAGATAAATATCAGACCCGGTAGAAGCTCACCATACGAGAAGAGTAATCAAGAATTTATGGAAAAATCGCGCGAAGTCATTAGAAATTGAGATAAAATAGAAAAGACATACGTGAAAAGAAGCTTCAATCGGGGAAGGAAGGAACTAAAATTACTCGGCACGACGACAGCATGACAAAAAAGATTAAGGAGAAAATACAGAGAATGGGGAAAATAATTTTGGGGATTTTATGGGTGGGAGAAAAACCAGTCTAATATACTTGGTGATGTAGCGAAAACGCATGGGAAAAATACAATAGGAGATACTCTCACTCTCCCGAAAAAACACCATTAATTTTTCATTCTCAAATTCAACTCCAATAGCAAATTATAGTTACCCTTTAAATAAACTTGTAATTCTAAACTCTGCTTATTTCCTAAGCTACTACTAATTATTAAATAATAATAACAATAATAATAATAATAATAATACTTATATTTCTTCTGCATCATTCTCCCCCGGTTGAGCAGAATTCGCTCTCGAATCCGACCCGTGCCCGTTGAAGAAGTGTGTCCCGCTTCGTCCTCGATCAAACACGAAGCTTGAAGAATGCCCAACCACATCGAAGGTAAACATAAGTATGGGCAAGAAATGAGCTAATGGAAAGGCACACGTACATGCCTCCATACGCATATCCCACAGAGTAGAATGAACATCAAACATACCACAACAGTCGTTGCGCTCAAATTCATAATAATGGCCCACCATCCTGTTGATGGGAGATTTCACGATACACAAGTGGAAAACAGACCACAAGGGATTAATTCTCGGCCCCCAAAAACCATCTTTGGCTAAGATGTCCCGAAAATTGGGTCCAAATGATTGTTTTTCGGGAGAAGGGTCAACCGTGGTGATGTCCCACGTGGAGCTCAAAGTGTTGCCCCTATGTGTCTCCGGCACTGGAGGCTCGTCATAAAAAACGGGCGGACCGTCGTAAATTGGCCCGTCAACGTGATCCTCGTAAATGTCAAGAATGTCAGCATGAAACGAGCTTACCCGATGACCAAATTCGCGGCCAAAATCCCTCTGAACAAGCCCATTCTTTGTACCCACTTCACAGACCCAAAAAATGGAAAAATGCTATCCGGCCCATGGGACAAATAAATTGAATTGGGTCGTCCCTTCGCAGGCCCAAAAGAATGAAAGAAATCTGGTTCTCTGCTGCGTCTTTGCGCATCCCCCAAATCGTCCCATCGCTGCATCTTTTCCACGCCTCTGTGAAAACTGAAAAATTGAACACCCCTATGCCCAACCTCATTACTGCTGACTCGCCGCACATCGACCCTACGTGGAGGTCTGTCGAAAACATCACTCCACCGTAAGTCCTGGTCCTGATTTTGGTCCCTCGATATGTTATCGTAAACATCACCGGTCAACAGTGACGGTGGTGATCGTCGGCGGGGCGAGCCGCCATAACCTCGACCCCCACGACCTCCGCGTATCCCTTCGCGATGGCCCCGGTCAGCTCCTTCGCGTCTCGCACGAGTCTCTTCCATCATGGTGTTCATGGCCAGGCGAATCTCCTCAATTCCCGACGAGAGGTCCGTGAATCGGTCGTCCACTCCTTGGAATCGCTCTTCCATATGTTGGAAACGATCGTCGACAGTGTTGTCTCTCTTAGGTGGCATCGTGGATCGTCGTTGGTCTATGGATACCAACTGATGTAGCGAAAACGTGAAAGAATGAGAAAAATACAATACGAGATACTCTCTCGAACTTGGGATACTCTCCCGAAAGAACACGATTAATTTTTAATTCTCAAATTCAACTCCAATAACAAATCATAGTTGCCCTTTAAATAAACTTGTAACCCTAAACGCAGCTTATTCCCTAAGCTACTGCTAATTATTAAATAATAATAATAATAATAATAATAATAATAATAATAATAATAATAATAATAATAATAATAATAATAATACTTATATTTCTTCTGCATCAGTTTCTAGATCAAATGTCGGGGGACTGCTTACTGCCTCCATGGTGGCTTGCCTTTGTTTGGGAGGTTTTTTGTCTAGAAGAGGACGTTATCCCAGGTTGCCTGGATTCAGTCAGTCGTAGGTGTAATGGAGTTTCTGGATATGCAATTTGGGTTAGGGTTGTGTTTGTAGGTGATGATCTCTGGGTGTCGATCCCGTATATGTTGTCGTGGAGCGGCTCTTAGGTCGCAAAGAGGGTTTATTATACTTTAGCTAGTGTCTTGGTTTTGTGTTTAATGTGTTTTCTGTTGTATTCTCCATTTTTTGAGCTACAACTCTTCACTTATGGTAGTGTAAATTACTATTATTGTAATTTGTGGGTGTTTTTAGTTTATTCTATAGGCGTCCTCGTCCTATAAGTCTCTTTATGAATTCAGTTGTTTAGTTGTTTCAACTTTCAACCGGCTAGTTGACAGCTTGTAATTATGTGTATTATTGATAGAATATGTCGTCGTGAAAAGAAAACAAAAATAGAAGTTTGACCCAGCATATTCGCTAATTAGACTGTTTGGTAAAAAAACTTAATTGATCAACTTTTTGGTCACAAAAACCTAATAATGAATAAAGATTTAAGCACAAAAAAGCTAATCTATTATTATATAAAGAGACAACCTAAAAAATACTTAAATAGTAACTAAAAAATCATTTCAAATCCCGCCTAAAAATTAACTAAACACAGAAACATTTTTGAATTTTTTTCGCAATATAGTGCCACTTATTCAACCATTTGAAATTTTCAAAAAATTTGAAATTGTATGTCAACATCCCAAATTCTCATTGCCGTTTCAAATTTTTAGAAATTTTCTAAACAAATCAATTTTAAGAAGTTTTTTTAAAGTTTAAACAAATTCACTTTAACATCTCCAAGCATACATCTCCAACTCCAAGCATATCAATATCATTTATTTATGGACACTCTCAAATATTATTGCAGCATAAATAAATTAACTTTTAACATTGAAACAAATTCACTTTTTATTATAAAAACTATA